AATCAATTAATTTAACGACGCATTCGCCTCGTCTAATGTGACAAAAATTAAACAGCTTTAATTAATCCTTTGGGCGCGAGATTCTGTCTTGTCAAGATTGTTTGAAGCCTAATTTTGAAACTCCCGTTGTCCTCCCGACGGCTTTAAAGTCCTAAAAATTGTTTGGGAAGTTATGAACATTTCAGCGAAGTTTGTATATGCATGGATTTACAAAAACTTTGAACTAGATACTAAATTTTATATGTCCTAGTTTCTAGACTTGCAATCCGCTCGATGGTACGATTTCAAGTGTAATAAATAAATTATCTATCGGTCGACACCGCACTGAAGCCGGCTAGACTATATTGTCGAAACGCGCTAACTTCACACCGTTTCGCTGTCAGTTGCCGTCCGTACTAATGACCGTTAGAAAACGGATAAACTATTAAACAAAATAGTATAACTATTTCGACATATGTTCACCAGTAGTTTGTTTAATTTCAACGGAAATAAGTGATACGCATCTAAGCTTAAAAAGCTAAAAATATCTTTACATAAAATACTGTCTATAGTTTACGCGAGTAGTACACATTTAAATAAAACACTTTAGCGGTTTAAAACGCGATATATTAGTTAAGCCGTGGTCACAGGGAGACCGTGACCACGGCTGCTGCAAAGCATCCGAAACGTCGGGCCGAAGTTAAAAATAATTTTCAAATAAGTTTAACTAATATATCGCGTTTTAAACCGTTAAAGTGTTTTATTTAAATATCTTTACATTTCAAGGCTTAGGTACAGATAATGTATTCTGAATGATTTAGAAAATCGACAAAGGGTACCTTACACGACAAGGTTGGGTTTCGTAATTAAAAGTGACAATTTAACATTGGGACAGTTTAAACTTCGAGGCCCTATTAGTGAGGATCTATAATTAATGAGTGTAGAAAATGGTACTAAAATAGCGGAATTCATCGCTTGACTTAAGTGGTCTAGGATTATACTATATTAAGATATATTATTTGTTATACCTTGTTACCTTAATTTATATTGGCAAGATGTATATGGTCTTTATATTTTTTATACTTAAACGAAAGAGGTAGCTCATACGAAGGAAAAAAGTATTTTTAATTACTACACGCGGACTCAAACTCACGACTAACAGCGTATCTGTATTAAATAAGTATAAATTGAAACGCGGGACATAGGGCGTACACACTTATGTCTCCGTTACACTTATTCATTTGTAAAATAGGCAAATTGTTGATTATAATATATTTTCTCTGCTCTACCTAGTAGTCACTACTATCACTTGAAAATACTGTCTTTTCATAAGTGCTACACAAAGAGTAAAAAAAACGCGTCGCCGTATATTGCATGTGCCGCTTCGAATCAAGGGAAAAAACATAAATTATTTGGAATTTCAATATTCCATTATTTATTTATTTAATATCAAGGTCTTCCAGACGAAGCCTTATCTTTCAGCAAAAATTTAAAGTTAGAGTCGCACAAACAGTTGATTCTTAGCTATTCTTGCTACCATTCGTCCAACGAGCTCATCAAAAATGGTGTAGAACAGGATTTAAGTTAACTGATTTATTTTACCCGCATAGCTATGTCCCAAAATTAGATGGCTAGGATAAGGAACAGGGGTCAACGCGGGTCATGCCCATATGAATACACTGTCAAGCGAAGTTGAATTACTCTCAAAAGCCCTCTTTGGAATTCGGGTATCCGGAGACTGACATCTGTAATCTGCGATATAACGTTGGTGGAGCATCCCGGGCTTGATTTTCAGGAACCCGCGGTGCAAAAGGGTTCCTATTGGTTAAACTTTGTCTGTCACCAGATTTTATCAGAAACCGCGATTCTGTTGGGATAGACGAGACGCGAACTTATGAAATTTATTTATTTAAAGATACATTAACCGACTACAGAAAACATTTATCACTTATTATAAGCACACTTTTAGGTATGGTTACTTACTAACTAGATTTTTCTTTTACTTCAAATACGAAGTGTTCCGTACCATTGACAGGGTATGGAGTAGATTTTACATATACGTTGACACACAAAACCCACTCACCATTAAATGCTTATTTCTTTGTAACTTTTATATACTAGCAACTGCTTGCTAGCTTGCTAGTACTTTTTATATTTGAGTATGTTTACCTGTTTCAAGTAGTCGTAGTTCTAGTCTAATGACAGACAGACACATAAACAGTCAGTTTGCAATAGGGTTCCGATTATAAGTACGGAATCGTTAAAATCGATAGCTGTGAACTTGCTAAACAACGGTCATTATTTCTCGCAGTAATTGGATCTCAGTGACATTCCAATTGTTTATGTTTTTTATCTAGCTTCGTTAGTTACTTCACATGTCAACTGGACCCTTATTTATTGGTGTACGCAAATGCGCTGTTGTTCGTTTAGAGAATGTTGATGGAAAGAGTTGACGCACGTAGAAAATTGTTCTTAGAAGTCTCCTTTGTCCAATTATTATGTTTAGGCAATGACGAACAAGTCGTAGGTTTGATTTCAGCTATACAAAGTTGCGTTAGATCTTTTTTCCAAAAATTCTCTAAGATTCGAAAATAAATTCTTTGATCATTATCTAATATCTGACAACCGAACATAGAAGGAAAAGCCGTTGAGTGAAAATTTGCGTTTCTCATGAAAATTGTATATGGAGAGAGCAATCATTCAAATATGCTTGTCTGTCCTTCTTTGTCAAACAAAATATAAAGAAAAGACAGTCCCCCATACAACTTTATACATATTACACTTACAGTAAGTTTCAGATATATAATATGGGATACTTATTAATATTGGATACCAGAGCTCACAAGTTTGTAAATAATAAAAATGTATGGTAAATAATAATCAACGTATTCCCACCTGGTCCAACATGAATCTAATCAATCTATAACTTTTCAGAAACATCTTGGACTTTGTCTGTCAATTTGGGTGTTAAATGGTAGAAACAAAGTTCCGTCCGGATCACGAACTGCCGTCCACAGATGAAAAAGCTATCATGTTTTATTGCGTTTCGATTTTAGTCTGTGGATTTCCGAATAATCAAAGGCAAAATAGGTCAACACATTGTCACATGACACATGTCTTTCACATTCCATCAAGTGTCCAACTATCATACAAAAAATTAGTGCTAAATAACTAATACCTAATGAGACAACAAACATGTTATACTCACTAAGAAGGAATATGTGATTTTTGTTCTTAGGATATGGAAGTTGTAAACATTATAAATAAGTCGTACATTTCATTTTTAATTTCAATGACAACGCAATGAAAATCTACATCAAGAACAGTGAGCATCAAATGAAAAATAATTTGAAAATGTCGTTTCGCCGACCGCCATTTCACTAACGAGTTAAAATGGATGTCGCCTTTGGGACCATAAATCCTTAAATATTAAACCTGGTCCGAGGCTTCGATCTAATGAAGACAAAGAAGCCCTTACGAGAAAGGTTTTCGATCCTATGACCTGGCCACTTACAGCTCGAAGGTGATGTAAAATATTTATGTAAGGCCTCATACTAGAATATAGCAGAAAATACATTTTTAAAATAATTGAAGTGTGAATAACTTACTATGGAATAGAATTGTTTCATTCATTTAATTCTTCGTTCCGTACACACTTTTATAATGGAATAATAAAATAAATAGAGAATTAATAGTTTTATATTTTGAGCTTTTAATAAATATTATTATGAATCCAATTCATAATTGCATTATATTATTAAAAGTCTACATTTAGGTATTACGCAGGTATATTCATATAGACATATAAAATATTTTTAGGATTTAAATAAAACAATTTAAAATGTAAAAAATCTGCTGCAAAGCATCAAAAACATCGGGCCGTAGTTAATATGAATTGTAACTGTTACGTAAGTTCGCAAATATATTTTGCGTTTTAAACCGTCAAAAGTGTTTTTATAAGTGAGCTAATACTTGTTTTTATGAACGTACTTTCCAAATTGGATTCGCTTACTTCGAGTGTACCACGAGTGTTACTAGACCTATGAACAAAGCATTTTTGTGCTTAAACTAAGGATAAACATGCGAGTAAAACGTAGTCCAGTTAACGGTAGGGATAGTTTTCATGACAGCTTTCAATTTAGATACCACGCTACGAGCACAATCAGGGTCTGAAGTGCATCAATGCAAACTCGATCAAACAATTTGTTTTCCTGTGTACCGATTGCATTAGTATTGCCTTACGGACGATTTTTTAACTACAGAGTTAGTGTAGGGGCTAGTACTCTCGTTTGTAAATCGCGAGGTTCCTGCTTTGAATTCTGATTGGGGCAATACGTTACTTCGGTATTTGCGATCCGGTTTATTTTTATTCAACCGATTGTGGTATTAGTAAATACGAACTCAATAATCTTAATATTTACTTACTTTATTTAAAAATAATAATCAATGTTACATATATTTATTCATTACTTCTAATAATTGATCATATTTAGAATCGTCAAGTCTTTCTGGAACCAAAATTTAAAATAACTTCGATGCTAACTGTACATAAATTCACTTGCAGCAACGTGGACCATTCGATTCTTAATTGAAATGTTGAATTGTTCAAACTCTTATTAACGTAAATTCGAATAGACCAGTCCAACTAAACTGCTCTAAAACCAATTAAACTGTTCTTAAAATAAAATATATTTCTACTGTGACTACTGCAAATAAGATCATGATCTATAAAAATACTAGAAATTTCTTACTGAACGACGTGTATGAGGTCAAACTAAAGTGTTTACGTATAATCATATGATTTTTTTATAATTGTTAACTAAGTGCAGTTATCAGTGTACAAGATTATCAATGATATGTTTGTTAATAATACTAGAACGCAGAAGGGGCGTTTGGGTTCAAGGACAAGGTAAACTAATCAGCTGCTAACGACACTCAGTCGTTCCGCACTACGCTTTATATAGCAGACGTTTGTACCGTGATTTCATTACGTATTCAACAAATTTATAAGCAACGTAAACATGATTTATTTTATAGTGATCTTAGTGATAATCGCACTGTACTTTTATGGAACAAGGAATTACAAATATTGGGAGCTTAAAGGAATAAAGCACGACAAACCGCTACCATTTGTAGGAAACAATGCAAGAAATTATTTGATGCAGAAGAGCGCTACCGAACTAGCTGCTGAAGCTTACTGGAAGTATCCCAGTGAGAGAGTAGTGGGCTTCTATAGAGCAACTCGCCCGGAACTCGTAATTCGGGATCCTCAACTCTTCAAAAAGATTCTTACTACAGATTTCTTCTACTTTTATCCGCGTGGGTTAAATACGCACAAAATCATCATTGAACCCATGCTTCGGAATCTTTTCTTCGCAGATGGCGATCTATGGCGATTGCTGCGGCAGCGACTGACGCCAGCATTCACGAGCGGCAAACTACGAGCTATGTTTCCTTTGATTGTTGAGCGTGCTGAGCTTCTCCAAAACCGAATTCTTCAGGCGTCGGAACAGTCCCCGGTTATAGATGCTCGAGACCTAATGGCCCGTTATACCATTGATTTCATAGGCGCATGTGGCTTCGGTCTCAATGCTGATTCTCTTAAAGAAGATGACTCAGAATTTAGAAAATTAGGTACACAAATTTTTCAAATAAACGCTGTAAATGTCGCAAAAAACTTTTTAAAAGAACTATTTCCGGGGACATTCAAGCATCTTAAATTCCTCGATAGCGTAGAGAAAACTATTGTAAAACTGCTGAAAGAAGTACTTCGCCAGCGTAATTATGAACCTTCTAATAGAAATGATTTTGTAGATTTGTTGATAGAATGTAAGAAAAAGGGTACCATCATCGGGGAATCAATAGAAAAAGTTAACGAAGATGGGAAGGGGGAAACCGCTGAATTGCATATAGACGATGAACTTTTAGCCGCCCAGATGTTTGTTTTCTTCGCAGCTGGATTCGAAACATCTTCGTCCGCCACTAGTACAGCTCTCAACGAGCTTGCTCATAATCCTCGAGTACAACTTAAAGTTCAAGGAGAGATTGACAAAGTTTTAGCGAAATACAATAACAAATTGACTTATGAAGCTGTAAAAGAAATGACTTATTTAGAGTGGACGTTTAAAGAAGCGATGCGTGTGTTCCCCTCACTTGGGTTTTTAATACGAGAAAGTGCTCGGAAATACACCTTCGAAGATCTGAATCTGACCATTGACGAGGGAGTAACGATTATGATTCCACTACAAGCACTACATAACGATCCACAGTACTTTGAGGACCCCCAACAATTCCGACCGGAACGTTTCGATCCATCAAACCCAGACTTACACCTGTTTAAAGACGTCTACTTGCCTTTCGGGGAGGGACCACGAGCTTGCATTGGTGAGTGATATAATTTGATGTTCAGACTTTCAAAAACAATATTTTACTCACATACTCTCAAGTATGTAAGTTATGTAATAATTATTAAATTAGAGACGTAATTGTCAGTTGACACAACGTGTAATTGTTTGTTATTGCGCTCTATATTGAGCGAGGCTTAGAAGAACAATCAATTTATTATCAAAATGTCAACAGACGACACTTCACTCATATAATACAATCGTAAAACTCGAAACACACGATCTGAGGAAATATTTTTACGACTAATTGCGTGTTATCTAATCGTATCTAGAAATTATCGTTGTCACGACTTCAGAAATATGCTTAGGACTGAATATATAAAATTTGTTTGATAAGTCTAGAATCTGGGAATATTGGTCCTGGAGTATTATTATAAAAACAATTTTCCAGGTCTACGCCTTGGTTTGATGCAGTCTCTGGCTGGCTTAGCAGCAGTTTTAGCTCGGTATACCGTGTCCCCCGCGCCTGGAGCACCACGACGACCGCCCGTTAGTCCAGCTTCTGACATCGTTCAGTCAGTGGTAGGCGGAGTACCGCTGATTTTCGAGCCTAGGACACTAAATAACTGAAAAATGAATTTATTTTTTATACTAAAGTATTTTATACGTCTCAGTGATATGTTTAAAATAATGCCCAATTACCCACACTCCATATTGTATTAGACCAAAGCTCAACTTTTATTTTCCAGTTATCAATTATCTCCAGTATTCAATAATGTGCCAAAATTATTAGAGAAAAAATCTCACTGCACTATGTACATTGAAAGTCTATTTATTAAAATAAATTACGACACGTATTTAGCGTGATTTGTTTTTCAGTCTAAATAGTTTTTTTTTTATTTATATTGCCATTTTGTGCAATATCTTGTGAATTTGTGAAATAATGTGTGTGAAATAATACAATATAGTGTACTATTATTTTTCACTATATAGAATAATCTGCATTGAGATAGTTACATAACATACACAGTGACATAACTTGCCATGTTTACTATACATATACATACTTTTTGTACATTCCATCGATAAAGAGTTTTTTTTTCAATATTTTTAAAACATATTTTTATATAAATGCACCAATGCAGTAGAAATTTGAATATTAAACAAATATCTTTAAAAAGGAGTCAGTATAGTGATTAAAGAGTCAGTGCTTATCTATTATTGTATCTACGAGTATTTGTAAGAATTAAGAACGTTCAATAGCAGTGCCTAAGATCTAGTAAATGAACACGAAATGTTTAAGGCCTCATAAATTACATCGCACGTCGTTTTAATATCCTTTTATAACCCTTTCTCGTACCTTTCATATTTGCATCTGGCAGGTTGTATTCATATTAAATTTTGATTTGGTGATTTAAGCGAGGCGCGAGCTTTAACTGATGCAAGTAAGATTAAAGTGAGCCGAATTTAAAATCAGTCTAGCCGAGCATAATTTCTTTAGTGCTAAAGCTGGGAATTTCTTGCTTTACTAATTTGGATTTAAGTCCAAATCTGTATAACACTTGCCAAAGCATGGACGTAAAGAGTTTAAACGTGAACTAGACTTTCGCTACTTGACTAAAAAAGGTCAAACATCCATCACTCTAATATTGGCATAATTAACGCAAAGCTTTTTACTTACAGTCTAAACTAAAGTCGTCTAGTAAGCTAATATTTCGTATTTATTAAAACAGTTTTTTTTTTGTTCTATATCACGCAAAATGGCAAACGATAATTTATTATATCATATGCGAATATTATATAAAAATTGACTATTGTGTTTGTCGAACGAAGGTAAAACGTAGTTCACAAAACAGGTTTTGCGTTGTGGATTAAGTATCTTATAAAACGTGAATAGGACGTGTCATGGAAGACTAATAACTTTTTTGCGTTGGTTTGGCAAACAGGTATCGGATTGTAGTTAAACAGTTTTAAGTTACTTGCGCCAGTACACTTGTAAAAGTGACGTTTGAATAAGGTAGCTTTTTGGTAAGAAATAAAAATTTTAGCATAACAATATTAATTAAAAATCGGTTTTAAATTGAAAAAAAATATCACACAGGCAGGTCTTGAACCGGCATCCACAGCGTTTCGTGCTTTATTATATATTATTGCCTTAACCAATTAAGCTACCGCGTCTTAGGCGTCATCTTCGAATTTTTAATTTAGATTAGATTTAAATAGTGCAATAACATGTGAAAAATATTAAAGTTTACAATAATATTTTTAATAAATATTTTAATGATTCTTATCCAGTCCATAAAAGACGAATGCAAAATATGTATGTCTATTTAGATGCTCATTATAAATCCCACAATCAATTTTGAACTATTTCATTGACACAGACAGATAAATAATGAAAGACGATACAACATATCAGATCAGAAAAATATGCACTTTTCTTGGATAGTCAAAATCCACAGACTGGAACCGAAACGCCATTGAAATAGAGGCTTTTCGATCTGAAATTCGTAACTGAACGGAATGTAGACATAATATTACATTTAGTATTCAGAATTTCTAGACCCGTTGCAGAAACTATATTTTCTTATCGATTACAATATTGAAAATAAAAAATAAACCGAATATACAAGCCAAAAAAGGTCGACGGCGCACTTTGCCGAGATGCTAAATGGCCAAAATACCCATCAAGTGTTCACTGTGCTATCATAAAAAAATAGATTGACCGACCCGTTGATAATTGATACAATCCTATTGGATTAATATAGACGTATGATTTATTGAAACACTATATATTCCTTATATTCGTTAATGCGCAATCAGGTCAATGTTTCATCCCAGTGACAAGGTGGAGATGAAACATGACAGGTCAATTGTGTATTGACCATAGTCTAACTATACAATGATGATCGAAGTGGGTTAATGGTACTATATATACATTAAACGTCTTAACGACATCTGTTTATATATTTTCTAAAAAAACTTAGCGCTTAAAACTCGTAATATATTTCTAAAATAAATCAATTAAAGTTAAACCTTGTTCGGTTTTAAACCGTTGAATGTGTTTTTTTTTTATTATATGAGCGTACCTATAACAAAAATTGCCACAGATAAGTTATATTTATTTGATAATTTATCTACATCCTGATCTCTGTGCTACATATTTATACATGATCAGATTCTGAATAAAAACATCTGACTTTAGCTTACTATATTATTATAGATCATCCGGCAAGCGTTGTTTTATTGTTGGCAATATAATTATGTTGATACAGCTCTTACGAAAAAATTGTAATCATGCATTAATTTCGACAAAACAGACAAAAACATTTCGTGCGAGTTAATCTTAAAAGGTATATTGATGGTGTAAAAATCGGAAATAAATTGAAAAAAAAAATCAAAGAACCGCTAATTCAAGTCCTGCCCGAGTCCAATTTTTTTTTAACTTTTTTTCGATTTTTAAATTATATAGTGCCTTCATATGCAATAAAATTTAAAAATATTAAAGTTTTCAAACATTGAGGGTTTCTTAAACTTTTCCAAATTCTCCACTGTTGTTTCCTTCATATTGATATGTTATATTGCTTAAAGCCTTTCTCGATAAATGGTTTATTCCAAACGAATTTCAAACGCAGTAGTTTCTGAGATAAGCGTATTTAAACAAACACACTCGTGAGGCTTATAATATTAGTATAACTATAATATATGGGAACTTAGTTTGCGTCAAAGTCGAAGTTGGCAACTTTTGCATAAAATGTAACCATTTTTTGTTCTCACACAAACCCAATTAATATCAACGACTACACCCTCGTCACTGTCGAGTACATCTAAATCAGACTTTCCTTTTATCGGACTAATGTACTTGTGTTGTGGAGTTTTCACACACACAATGCTCTGGAAGAATCCACGAGATTGATCAAATAATAAATATGTATCCATATATCCATTGTCATACTTATAAGTTAGGTACGTACATAAGACTTTATCTGATTATAGTTAGCTTAAGTAGTTTAAGCCATGTTTACGTAGTAAGCCTTGAAAAATAAATAAATATGTTAAAATTTGTAAGGAAAATAGATTTGATAGAAACACTGTTAACGGTTTAAATTCTAAACAAATTAGTTACCTTATTTCGTATTAAACAGTTGAAAGCGTGTTTAACTCGCGTAAATTAAAGACATTTCTATATAACATTCTCTATCAAGTATCAAGTACTAAGAACTGGTAGTTCGATATCTTACTTCAGCGCTCAAATTTTTATTTATTTTAACTACGGCCTGAGGTGCCCACGGCTTTATTTAAATGTGTCCTACTCGCGTAAACTAAAGACAATACAAATCTTCATGTTATCATTTGCTTTATTAGTCTTGTAACATAAAGTGGCTCCGTTTAACATAACCGCCTTAGGCAACAATAATAACGTAGGATATTTAACTTAATTACACTATGCAAAAACAAGATATGGGTCGATTTAAGATCTTTCTATTTCAACCTATTAATGTGCTAGTAACAATTTTCGGTTACAAGAGGGTTTTAAGAGACTTTAGACCCACCAGGCCATTAGGACGTAGGTTAGAGAGTTAACAATTATAGCACTAAATTAGGCACAGGATCTGGAACCCGGAACTTTACATTTACAATCCACTGCAATAACCAACGAGACAGTTTTTTTTTTAATTTATTTGATTCTTTACTCATTTGATCACAAGTGAAAAGATATACCTACAGTATTATTATTTATGATAGAGAAATACAGATAAGCATGACATTCACTTGATGGGTGAAATATCTCAGTCTTATAACATCTAAACAAGATGTGCCGTCGACCTATTTGTGCCTTAGTTATTCGAAAATTTACGCATAAACTTCATGGTTTTTCATCTGTGGGCAGAGATGCATGACTCGGACAGAAAATCGTTATTCCCACCACCTACTTATTATTTGGATTTCCAGACAAAGTCCATTATGTTTCAGAAAAATACGATAAAAACTGATTAGAATCATGTGGGACCCGATGGGCATCGAACCCGACGACCCATTATTAGCCATACATACCACCATACCATTATTAACAATTGACTAATTATGATATTATATAGATATAGACTTATATAATTGTTTAATTGTTAAGAAATTACAGATCAATAATGCCTCGTTCCCAATTTTTATATATTGATGCATTTTATGCAATGATTTAAAAGCAGCAAACAGCTGAAAAATAATTTTCCGTAAATCTAGAACTGGCAAATGAAATTCTCCGCTCAAACGGAATACACGTACAGACGAGTCGGGGAGAGGTAATGCAGAATTATGCTAATGGACAGCAGCTAAATAAGGCCAGGGAAATATGAGCCGCTCGCAGACAAATTGTACTAGCTGCTGCTAATAAAGATGGTAATACCGTCCTAAATAGTTCGCAGATTTCATTTGAAGATAAGAAAGCAAGTTGTGATAGAGGACAGACGAACATTCATTTGAAGGTGTTATGATGCGCCGTCGACCTATTATGGCCTTGCTAACTCGGAATTAAGCAGACTGAAACCGAAACGGGATTAAACTTCGCAGCTTTTCTAAATGTGGACGGTGGAGGGTATTTCGATATTGCTACCACCCATTTAATACCCAAATTT